GCATGACCAGTGCTCCGACGGTAGATCTCCCCATGCCGAACTGGTTCCCGATGGATCGGTAGCTGTCCTGCGTGGAGAGCTTCCACAGGGCGATGGCCATATGCTTCTGGAGGGGGATGGCGGGCCTCATGTGAGTGTCCCATCGCTGCAGAGCAGGGGCGAGCCACTCGCAGAGCTCCAGGAAGGTGTCCTTCTTCAACTTAAAGTTCTGGGTCCACTGTCTGTCTCCCCAGCGCTCCAGGATGATGCGGTCCCACCAGTCACTGCTGGTGTCCAGACGCCAGATGCAGCGGGGCACGCTGGCATCCGGGCGCTGCTGCCACTCCTCCACGACCCCCGGGGAGGCCAGGGGGAGAGGCAGAGGGCTGACATGCACCAGGTGGTGCAAGGCAGCCTCCACCCATTGCTGGCAGGCTTGCAGCAGCAAGTCCAAAAACTGGAGTAGCATGCCCAGGGTGATCTCTGGCTCCATGTTGCCAACTGCAACAGCATCCCCAATGGGAAGCACCAACACAGGCATGTGAAGAGAAAAACGCTTTGCTGTCCCTCTGCGAGGTAGGCAAACAAGTGGAAAAGCTGAGAACCGGCTATCCAGGGGGGTCCCTTTAAGCACGAGCCTCAGATAGCCTCAGACAGCAGCCACACAAAGCAACTACTGACCTGATGCCCTGCCAGAACCAGTTTCAGCTGCCTTTAAATGCGACCCAGCGTCCAATCAGTGTGGACGCACTAGTTCGAATTAGCAAAACGCTAATTCGAATTAGTTTTTAAATCTAGATGCGCTAATTCGAATTAGCTTAGTTCGAATTAACTAATTCGAATTAAGTTAGTTCGAATTAGTGCTGTAGTGTAGACATACCCATAGAGTTGAATCTCTTTTAGTCAACAAAGAGATTAAGAGGTGACTTGATCAAGAGCCCCGGCATGATCATTTTAGAGCTGGGTTTGTTTTGGTTTTTTTTAATTTCAGGAAGTCTGCTATAAGGGCTCTCTAAACCGTTTTGGTTCTGGATTGAGTTGAACTAATAGTCTCCTTTATGTTACTGAGATGAACTAAATACACCAGACATACTTCTGTATGTGGCATCCTAGGGACCACTTCTTGAACAGAGATTCCTATCATCTCCATTAGCAAAATATTTTAGGTTGGTGATTATTTGCACTGTCAAATACTTTTATGTCATTTCGCCATAGCCTGAATGTAAGAAGTTAAAAATGACTCTTGTTACAAGCCTGGGCAACAGGCAGGATGTTAGTACCCTTCCTATCTAATTGCTATCCTATGATCCTTATCTGCTTCTTTTAACTATCCAATCCTTAGGTGCTTATAGGTTACCAGTTCTGCCTACTTGTTTTTCCCTTTGATATTTTCATACCCTCTGTTATTTGTTTCCCGCCCCCTTCTTTTCTCCCCCCCCCCCTTCTTCCCTATTTATTTTGGGTCTGCACATCCCAAACTCAAAACTCCGGTCATCTGAAGAAGTGGGCTGTGCCCATGAAAGCTCATGATACCATCTACATGTTTTGTTAGTCTATAAGGTGCTACCAGACCATTTGTTGTTTTTTAAGTTTAGGTAGGATGATGTTAGCAGTAGCAATAGAGAATAGAAGTTATGGCGAGAGTTTAGTAGGAATTTCTAGCAGGAGAGTTTTGGTTCTTGGCAAGGGGTGAGCATCTCCAGCAAATTCCCTTGAAACCCTCCTAGTTCATTGCACTCAGCATTCCCTGGGGGTCTTTCTATCAGTTGCCAGACTTGGATTCATTCAAAACCGTACCTCCTTCATGGGATCTGATTAAGTTTTTCCACCAAGGATGACATGCTTTGGTAGTTCCCTGAGACGACCCTGCACTGAGTCCCTAGAAAAGTCCTGGTCAGCTCTTTGTGCTAATTAGGGAGTTAACACCTCTGTAGGAGTGCTCAGCTCTCCTCCTTGGGCCTGGGCTATAATTTAACCAGCTGCTTCCTCAGCTGGCTCCTTTTTCCTCAATTAATCTCCAGGCTAAGAGGACCCAACAGGCAACCCTCTCTTGCTGGCGTCTGCCCTGTTACGAGGGAATTGCCAGCTTTTATGCTAGTCCCCGCCTGAGATCCAGCCCATTTCCAATTGACTGGGTGAGAGAGGGACCTGGCTGCACCTTCTCTGCAAGACTTCTGGCTCCAGATCCCTAAAGACACAGTGAAGGGCTTTCCTCCCAGCATCATTCATTCCTGGGCCCTTTTCTCTCTGTTTGTATCCCTCGTAGGTCCTTACACTGGGCATTTCAAACCTTTCAATGTCCATGCCATGTAGCAGGGTGACCTGATCACTATGTGCTACTGCGTGTGCAGTGCAAACGAGTCCATCGTAGCAATACTGATCTCGTGGATACATAACGTAGTTCAGGCTCCTCCTTAATACAGTCTCTATTGTATGTGTCTAGTGCTTGCAGTAACACACAAGAAGCTGACCTGCAAGTACAGTCAGGAAATATATTGCAGGTTATCTGTGGATGCTGGTGTTAAATGAAATGTACAATAATTTGGGCTGGCTTCTTTTCATAACAGGAGCTCCAGTATGCACAGCAACAACATGTCTCAAGATTGACTTCTAGGACTGCCTTTCCTAGCTCAATAGAGAGCGTAAATGGTGAAAATGCTCCAAGTAGCTGTGGCAAGGGAGCAGAATTACCCCAGCTTCAGGTACAGTACGTGAGGTTTTGGCTAGTGTGATCTACTTTAAATGTGTGCTTTAGTTCTATGTAAAAAATATTGGTTAGTTCATCATTGACAACGATGATGATATTGTTGCAGTCCTCATTGTTGACAATGATGACGGTATTGTTTCGTTACAATCTTCAGGAGACAATTCTGCTTGCTTCTTGTTTATAGTGTCACCTGAAAGTGGAAATAAGGCATTTTTATGACACTGTTGTAGCTGCTGTTGCAAGATATTTACATGCCAGATATGCTCAAGACTCCTAAGTCCCTTCATGCTTTAGCCACCATTCCAGAGGACATGCTTCCATGCTGATGATGGGTTCTGCTTGATAAGGATCCAAAGCAGTGCGACTGAGATGTGTTCATCACATGAGTCAGATGCCACCAACAGAGGGTTGATTTTCTTTTTTGGTTGTTTGGTTCTGTAGTTTCCACATCGGTGCGTTGCTCTTCTCAGACTTCTGAAAACATACACCACATTTTGTCCCTCTCAGATTTTGGGTGGCACTTCAGATCCTTAATCTTGAGTGCTGCAGCTGTTTTTAGAAATCTCACATTGGTACCTTTGCTTTTTGTCAGAACTGCTGTGAAAGTGTTCAAAAAAAAGAACGTGTGATGTGTCATCATCCAAGACTGCTATCACATGAAATATATGGCAGAATGTTGGTAAAACAGAACAGGAGACATACAGTTCTCTCCCAAGGAGTTCAATCACAAATTTATTTAATGCATTATTTTTTAACAAGCATTATTAGCATGGAAGCATGTCATCTGGAATGGTGGCTGAAGCTTCAAGGGACCCATGAATGTTTAACATATGATATCTGATACATAAATACATTACAATGCTAGACAACAGTGCCATGTGAACGCCTGTTCTCACTTTCAGGTGATATTGTAAATAAGAAGCAGGCAGCATTATCTCCTGTAAATGTAAACACACTTGTTTGTCTTGGTGATTGGCAGAGCAAGAGGTAAGAATGCATGGATTTAGAAGTGCTAAAATGTTACATTGTTTCGAAGTGCAAAAACACTTCTACATTTGTAAGTTTTCACTACAGCACTTATATGAGATGAACTGAAAGATGCTATTTCTTTTTATCATTTTATAGTGCAAATATTTGTAATAAAAATATGAAGTGGGTCCTGTGCACTTGGTATTCTGTGTTGTAATAGAAAACAATATATTTGAAAGAGTAGAAAAACATCCAAAATATTTAATACATTTAAGTTGGTATTCTGTTGTTTGAGTGTGATTATTCAAGATTAATTTTTCTAAATTAATCACGTGAGTACAATTAATCAAGATTAATTTTCGAGCTAATTGTGTGAGATTAATGGACAGCCCTTTAAACAAGTTGTATCCCAACCAAACTGTCCATGTTCCATCCTCACTCTCTTTTCCCTTATGCCTCCATCTGAATTAAAAATAACAACACAGCTTGTCTCACAGCTTTGGAAACCATATAGCTATCTCAGGGCACATCTACACAGCAGGGCTAAAGCCAAAATAAGCTATGCAACTTGAGCTACGTCTATTGCATAGCTTAAGTCAAAATAGCTTATTTCAGCTTTTGGCACTGTCTACACAGCAGGAAGTCTGAGAGAGAGCTCTCTTCCTCTGACTTCTCTTACTCCTCATACAGTGAGGTTACAGAAGTCAGAGTTAGAAGTCCTCCAGCTCGACATTGTTTTGACATGTTGAAATAAGTGCTTGCTGTGTAGACGCAGACTATGTTATTTTGGAATAATACTGCTGTGTAGACATACCCTCACTGAGATACTTCCAGTTCTGACCCTCTCTCTGCTGCCCTCTTCTGATTAACCCAGGTTCTGTGTGTAATCCATCTGAAGAGTAGATATCTTCTTAAGACGATGTTTTGATTCTCATAGGTTCAGCTGCACTCTTCAGTTAGAAATGGCAGTCAAGGGCAACAGAAGGGATGTACCTCCTCAGAAACAAACCGATCACAGCAACTCAGTAGGGAGAACACTGGCCAGTCCCAGCAGAGCCGGTTGTCATCATCTGGAGTACACAGCTCCCTCCAGGATATTTGGCAGATTCTAGATATGGGATCAAGCCCTTCCATTCTCAGCCCTCAAAGCAACACAGATGAAGGTAAGCATGACTAGGAAAGAATTCACAGAACATCAGTCTTCTGGAGGAGTCACAGTACAGTGGTAGAGTCTTTTTTTACCCAGATTTTATTATATGTTGGTCCTAAAGTTTATCACTTAATTATCTATAAACTCCTGTCATAAATGTTTCAGGAATTATTCAGATACTTGAATATTGCTGCTGCTAGGAACAGACAGTTGATGACCACTAACACTTCTCCCCAATATTCTCATGCTTGTTAAGAATACTGTTTCCCTCTTAATAAAATCCTTAACTGGTGGAATGCGGATGCCATCCTGCCTATACAGCAGGCGCTTTAATAAGAGAAGATATAAAAGTGTGTCCTTGATAACTGAAGAATTCCTAGCCTGTTGTGCTGCTGTTGGAGCATGCCATCTCCACCAGTCCTCACGAAGCTATTACTTTGTGGCAGCTATAAATTCCCTCAACATTCTGTATTATTTACGTGTGTCATGGTAATAGAGACCCTCACTGAGATCAGGGCCCTGCTGTGCAAGTCACCATATAAATGTACAGTAAGGAACAGTCCTGGCCTGAAAAATCTCACAATTTAACTAAAAAAGACAAAACAGACAAATGGTGGGAGGAGAAATAGAGGCTCAGAAAGCTAATGCGAAATGACCAAGGTTATGCAACAGATTGATATCAGAGCTGGGAACAGCAGCTGTGTCTCCTGACTTCCAGCCCAGCCACTGGACTACACTGCCTCTCCATAACCCTCCTATGCTAACAACTTATTGGCACAGATTTAAAGAAATCGCTAATTTTGGGGGACTGTGAATTAAAATTGCATAGTGTTTTAAGGCCAGAAATGTCCATTAGATCATCTGGTCTGAACTTCTATATGTCATAGGCCATTACACTTCATCCTCATACCCCATGTAAAAGTCAGAGACTTCGGTTAGATCAAAACCTTTCAGTCTTCAGGAGACTTAACTGTGTGTCACATGCTGAAAGCAGGAGGAAGCAAGAGGAAGGTGAAAAACCCTCAAGGTCCCAGCCATTCTGACGAAGGGGTAAATTCCTTCCTGACCTCAACTCTGGTGATCAGTATGACCCTGAGCATATGTGTGAGGTGATATCGTTTATTGGATCAACTTCTGCTAGTGAGAGAGACCAGCTTTCAAGCTTACACAGAGCTCTATATCATAAACAGCTAGGCATCTAGAAAGAAGATCCTCTGTAACTCTTTAGGCCACTGGTCCACTCTTTTGGTGGTGTCCCATCTCAGAGAGGTCCCTATCCTGGAGCTAGATGCTACCTAGAGGGACAGAGCTAGGGGGACCCTAAATTCCTCATTCCTGGCCCCAACGCAGACTAGGGATGTTAAATTATGATTATATGACTAATCGTGAAATTGATATTTGTATCGACTGCATGATTAGGTGATAAGGTCTGCTCTGCAGAGCTTCAGTGGGGGAAGCTCCAGGAGAAGGCTCAAGCCGAGACTGAGCAGTCCTGGTTCATGCTGGCTCTTGGAGCCATCTTTCTTTGCCTGCTACTTATAATCACTTAAATCTATATTTCTGTTGTTAATAAATCTGTTTTAAATAGGGCTGTCAAGCTATTACAAATTAATCATGATTTATCGAGCGACTAATCACACATGCTGCCCCTTTGAAATTCTGTGATGGTGTTTCAAAGGGACAGCGCTGTGGAAGCCCAGGATCAGCTGTAGTCCTCAGATGACCCCAGGCTCAGTGCAGCTGCCCCTTCAAAATGCAGCAGTGGCATTTCAAAGGGGCAGCACCGTGGGGAGGGGGGATCAGCTGCGTGGCACTGCTCCTTTGAGCCCGGGATCAGATGTGCAGCACTACCCCTTTGAAACTCCTCTGCGTGGAGCCTGGGGTCAGTTAGGGAGTTCCTGGGCTCCGTGCAGCGCTGCCCCTTTGAAATACAGCCACAGCATTTCAAAGGGTAGCGCCGCCCTATTGACTAATCAAATACTCGATGCAAAAATGCATTGATTAATTGATTAGTCAATTATACAATCCTTAACATCCTTAATTCACAGTGGTCAGCGGCCATAGGTAGGGGCTGCCCTGCCCACAACCAGCCCTGGCTGCAGCAAACAGGGGCTCCTTGGTGTCAACAGCCTGTCTGTGGGGGAGGGGCCCAGCTTCCTGTTAGAACCCCCACGGACATGGGCTGCTACTGAAGTAGCCTCTGCCCTGGTGAGCCTCGGCCCTTTGATAGAGACAATGGGGGAGTGGGGAGACAGCATTGCGGCTCTCCCCCCAGCACAGGTTCTATGAGAGGCAGCAAGGGAGTGAGAGTAGTTGATACTCCAGTTGACTACCTGATAAGCTTATGCACAGGAGCGGCCCGAGGCCAGCTGCAGCAGCTGGTTCCCTAGGCGGGGCAGCGCAATCGGCGCCCCTGCCTGCATGGCCGTCAATGGTCGTGACGTCATCATCGGGCGCCTGGGCCCTGCCTAGCTCGCCTAGGCTCACGGGCCGCCGGTGCTTATGCGCCCGCCCAGTCCTCACTCCCGCATCCCACCTGTTTATAAAGGAAGTATTGGCTTATTGTACAAGTAGCAGACTTTTAGTTACATGAGTGACTCTGTAAGATAAGGAGTGGTAAGCAATGTGTTAATTTAGCAGTTGATGTTACTCTCATATTGAAAGTTTTTTGCTAAAATGGCCCCCACTTCAAAAATAGTGCAGAGCACTGGCTTGGAGTCTTTATGGAGAATGTAGCTCTCTTTTTAAAAGTTACATTTTACTCAAGCTTTGCAAGGGGTCAGAATAGGGGATGGATGGTCGTAATGGTCCTTTTGGATTTTGAAATCTTATTCCAAGTACTCCCTTTTCATCCCTTTCCTTCATAGACCATGGGGAGAACAGATTTGTCTGCATCACCCTCACCAGGCTCATAATATTTTCATTTCTGTAGCCAAATCTATATTATTTTATGTGTTCATCTAGATTGGTGATAGCATGAGATCTTGCCATTACCAACTATGTTTCGAGATCTGCCAGTGAGCCCGTATTTAATCCATCTAATGAATATTGTGACATTCCCCAGGGTACAGTATGGACTGCTGAATATATGCATCCCCTCAATTCTCCAGTGTGGGGTGCCTTTTACCCTGCCTTGCTGTGAGAATAACCATTCCTGGTCTGCTCACAAACAGCCTCCTATGAGTAAATCACTCCCAGCCATACTGAGTGCTATGGCCAACCCTCCATGAGTTATACTACAGAACAATCCTGGGAAACCCCCATGGTGCTCCACTGTTAAGTGTCGGGCTTGTCCCGGCACTGCAGCTCGGAGATTTTTCATAGCGGTGGTCAGCTGGACCGTGTATGCGCGGCTGGCGCCTCGCAGCGTTCACACTCTTTTGCACATGCGCGTGGTCCGGCTCCCGCCAGTTCCTGTCAGCCACCCCCAGCCGTGGATGGAGTGAACTACCTCTCTTCAGAGACTGTGATACTCTGTAAATTAGTTTTTATAATTCTTAGTTGCTCAGACTTTTTTTCTGTACTTTAGTTTAAGAAATAAAAAAAAGAGGTAAGATTTTTTTTCTTCTGAATATAGTTAGTTAGATTGCGTTACGCAACCTCCTCGTTCTTTCCGACCTCTTGGCCTTCAGGCCGTGCACTAAAAAAAAAAAAAAGAGAGAGAGGGAGAGAAAGAAGAAAGAAAATCAAGATGCCTGGCTCACCAGGCTTTAAGATGTGTGACACATGTCACGAAGCCATGCCCGCCTCAGATGGACACGCATCATGTATCCCCTGTCTCGGCGAGGCCTACATAGCACAGAAGTGTTCTCACTGTACAAAGTTAACGGTGAGAGCACGTTGGGACAGAGAGATGTACCTCAAAATGATTCTCTTCAACAAGGCTCTCCAGTTATTGGACTCAAAGTCCACGGCTTCCTCAGAACCGGCTGTCTCTCAGAAACATAGAGCCTCTTCACCAGGCTCCGTTCCGCCCCAAAACACTTGGGCATCACCAACTTGCTCCTTGCTGTCCCTTTCCCGGAGCATGGTGAGCATTGGGGACAAGCCAGGCATGTCTAGAACTGCCTTTTCCCATTCAAGGGCGGTTTGGACCTCTAAGACCAAGAAGATGCTGCTTATGGTGCTGACATCATGGCCCTGAGTGGAACCAAGAACGGCTTTGGCACCAGTGGCTTCGTCCACCAAAGCCGTACCTGCACCTCCGTTGGCACCATTGGCTACAGCACCGACAACTTTGTCGGCACCAGCAGCTTTGGCACCATGGGAAGCACCATTGGCACTGGAGAGACCTGAGGTATTCCCCACTTCCAGGAAAGCCTCATCTAAATTAGATAAGCATCGGAGTCCCACTCCATGTTCCATCTCACCGACTTTCTCTCCAGCACCAGCACCATCTCCACTGGCACTGAGATCACCAGCATGGTACACCTGACCACTTGAACAGCACGGCTCCCCTCATTCTCCGCACCGTAGATCACTGTCTCCTGCTAGTGCGGAACCGATGAGGCATACTTATTACCATACTAGATGAATTTCCATCTCTCCACCGTCGTCATCCAGAGCCTCCTACATGCCCGCTCATTCCCCGGTATCTCCACATACTGCATAGTGGGAAGATTACAGGCACTCATCCCCGGGCAGCTCTCACTATCACAATGACCATCATTACCAACATGCACCGACTCGTTACTCCTACTATTATTGCCATCGCTCCCTGTGACGTAGTGGGGGTATCTTGCTGGTTGCTATGCTGGGGCTGTGGGTGACCCCCACTGGCTGCTGTCTGTAGCACGGCCCAGCAGGGCAGGGGATGAGTCATTATGCGAAGAGAGTCTCTCAACCTGTCTGACCAGCTACCCCCCAGGGAGAGAAACAAAGGAAGGTGGAATCCCGCCCTGGCTGGGGGGCAGGGCTGGAAGAGAGTTAGTTTCTGTCTGGGATCATGGAGGAGACAGCCTAGGGAAAGGGGCTGGAATTTAGGGGCCCAGTCTCCCCCCTCTCAAGGAGGGC